GGCATTAATGGGTACAACAAGGACTGGTCGTCTCGGAGTCAGTATAATGTGTCTGAGTGGGGTATTCATGCTTCACTGCGGCATGTTATCTCAGTGGGCTAGCACTATAAAACCAGCTTCAGTCTGGGCTAGTACAAGCAGCCGCACATACACATACACACGCATGCACGTCGTCATATGAGCGAAATATTCTCAAGCACGACGTTAAACCCAATTTCACCTCACCTCTAGCTCAGCGTAAGGTGCAATGGGACGTCAACCTTAGCGAAAGCATGAGGTAAACCGTTCATGAGCTAAGGTATTATCACAGCGCTAACGTTTTTTTTGTATAGAGACACCCAGGTGAGAACCACAAGTGTAGACAGATCCTTGGAACTCCAAGTGTGAGCACAGGGGCGTGTCACGCTTAGAAACAGCGTTAGAAAGACATATAGGTATATAGACCCTACCCTAATACTGTATAAAAGGAATAGTACTAGGGTAGGGTCTATATACCTATAGGGGCGGTGGGGTAGCTTAATGGTTAAAGCGTCGGCTCGTCACGCTGACGACCTGGGTTCGAATCCCCACATGGGCACAATGTGCGAAGCCCAATTATGGTGTCCCCCGCCGTGATATTGCTGGAATATTGCTAAAAGCGGCGTAAAACCCAACTCACTCACTCACTCACTATATACCTATATGTCTTTCTAACGCTGTTTCTAAGCGTGACACGCCCCTGTGAGTGTGAGAACCGGGGTTGGCACGGTGGTAAAGGTTCCACTTGACTTGGACTGTATAAGCCTCTACGAACAATCTGGCAATATTACAAACTGAAGCATGGAAGTATCACACAGAAGCTTGAATTATGATCACTTTCTACAAATATATTCACCTCATTGGAACCCAGCAGACACCTCCTCAATATGAGGATTTTGTGGATGTGGCAGATAGTGTTATTGTTGTCTGATTCAGGGTTAGGTGCTCAGGCAATCAGCAGATAGTTTTTTGAATCATAGTTGACAATGTAGGGGTCATAAGTAGCATTAAACACTCACTCAGTCACTCAAGAATACATTCGAGAACTAACTCACTCACTCAAGAACTCGCTCACTCAAGAACTCACTCACTCAAGAACTCTCCGTTGACATTTCCTCCTCCCCCACAACTCCCACCCACACTCACTCACCCTCTCATCCACCATCACTACAGTCCGTTTGAGACAAAATGATACCGATCGATTGCAATCTAACACAAAAACAAATAGACATAAAATAATCAAACCAACGCGAAGTGCAATAAAAACAGACCATCTCTAGAAAAAAAGTGCATAATTTGTGTCACAAAAATATAAAAGTCGTTTAAGAAACTGTCATCATTTATCTGTGCGTTTTCCCAGTTTGTTACAAGGGCGCATTGGCACCTAAAGGAACAGCGCGAAAAGCGAGATGCACGTGCGTTAACGGATTCTCAACAAATGTTTTAGCTGGCGAGATGACACGTACCCCAGCTGCACAGGGAGTGCGCTGTATGTACTTAGTAATTGCATACTTGGGTCACCCCCTGTCATTTTCATCCTTGAAGAAATCGTAGATTTTGTAAATTATAGACTTTCATTTTCTCTCACTTTGTCAATCAGCAGTAATCACATGTCTCTGACGTCACTAATGCACGTGCATCCCGCTTTTCGCGGTGTTCCTTTAGTTGCCAATGCGCACTTGTAACAAACTTGGAAAACGCACAAATAAATTATGACAGTTTCTTAAACAACTTTTTTATTTTGGTGACAACAATTATGCAAATTTTTTCTAGAGTTGGTCTGTTGTTTTTATTGCAGTCCGCGTTGGTTTGATTCTTTTGTGTCTATTTGTTTTTGTGTTAGATTGCGATTTTATAACTAACTCACTCACCCATCCCATTCTTTACTTGGTCACTCATGAAGATCTAGGTTAGAATTGGTCTTCAGCAACCCATGCTTATAAGAGGTGACTAACGGGATAGGGTGGTCAGACTTGTTTGACAAATGTCATCCCATCCCAATTGCGTAGATTGATGCTCATTTTGTCGATCACTAGATTGTCTGGTCCAGACTCGATTATAGACAGAAAGCTGTCCTATAGCTGGACTATTGCTGAGTGCAGCGTAAAATAACAAACCAGCCAACAACTTCACTCAGTCAGTGTAAATAACACACAAAACACATTGTGATATCACTTGTTTATTGCACCTGTGTCCAAACAGTGTAACACTTGCCTCCCTCCACTGAAATGTACATCTTTTCACAACTGCTTCTCTTTACATGCTTAATAAACATATAAACAATTCACATTAATGTGCTGCCACATGGCTTTAGACAATAACATGAAAACAAACTGTTATACAACAAGAACACATGCCATAAATATTTTTTGTATAAAAAATGGGTCTTGAAAAAAATTAGAATTTATGGCATTATTTTCTGTTTTGGATTACATATTTATTTGATAAAATATTTCAAGCAATAATATCACAAAGTTGAGTTGAACGTGTAACATGTATTTTGCCAAAACAATTATGCTAAAGTTAACACATATTTCAAATTTTGAAGTTTTTCCAGCAAACAAATTATCACATGACATTCAAGTTTGAACTTATCTCTGTTTGTTTTGGACTGGCACAACCTGAAATGATTATCAGATTATGTGGGTCTCATTCTTCTTATTTGGCATGACATATATTTGTTTTCATGGAATGAATACATTTATACATCAACAAACAGTAATGGAATGCTACAGAGAAGTGATATAAAAATAACAAATTTTGAAAAAGGATGACGTTTGTGTTTAACAGCGTTTGAAAAGTATGTGATTTATGTAGGGTGAAATCCCAGTGAGCATATATATGGTGAAATATTATTAGATGAAAACAGTACATAGAAATTAACACCTCTAGTTGGTTAAACATGACCAGTGGATCCTGCATAGGTAAGGGACACTACTCTGCAAAGTGATTTAGGGCATCTGCACTGCTTGTGTAATTTGAACAGTAATATACAGATATAATATCAAAGGTGATATTAAAAAAAATATTAAGATAAAATAATACTGTAGGATAAATATAAAAATTTTCCGAGTATCTAGATTGTACAAAATATGGTGAGATAAGACATGGTCATGTGATATAGAAGTGGAAAACTATGTCAATGTGAAAAGATTCTCTCTGAAGCCAAACTACAAGTAGGAATTGAAAAAAATTAACACTTTGGACTGGATGCTCCAAACTGCAGTTATCAAATTGGAATTAATTAGTGTTTTAATTGATTTTATGTTAAATATCTACATAAATTGCCTGTATTTGTTGATGCTGATGGTTCTTGAAGATCTTTTATGCCAAGATGAAGATGGGCTTTTATTACAGAAATTGAATGAAAACTTTGTTTAACGCCGAGCTCAGCAATATTGCAACTATATGACGGCGGCCTGTTAATATCTGAGTCTGGACCAGACAATCCAGTGATTGACATCAAGAGCATATATCCACACAAATGGGACACTAGCACATGTATCAGTTAAGTCAACAAGCCTATATATGAGCAACAATGCACTCGGTTGGGATGTAAGGGCACCTTATCAACCTAGTCACCATGCCCATTAAAACCGATCAATTTGGTCGCCTCTTAGAGAAGCATTGGTTCCTGGAGCAAATGAAACCTACACCTATGTACATTTCCTGAAGAAACTACTGCAGTCTACAGGAAGTAATCTCAAGTTCTTATTGCCATTACATGGCATTGTTCAAGGTCACTGTTGTCTGTAATTGCACAACATGTTCAAGGTCAAGGTAAAGGTCATGGTCAAGGTTACCTGTTATTGCACTACCTTCTGACTGGGATCATAAACTTCCTCGAATTCAATTTATCTTCTATGCTGAATATGTAAATATCGTTTTGTGCTAAAGTGTGAAAATCCATGCAAAAAAAACAAAGACAACATATTTATGTTCTGGACAAAACATTGAAAACATATTATTATATACTTATATTGATATTGTGCTCTTTGCATAGAAACGTCCTGACAAGGGTTATTTGTCAGTTGATTGACAAGTGTCAATATCGGTGAAATAATAGGTCTGTATACAAAATACATTTAATTTGTTTTCCATTCATTATCAAAATTATATTTCAAGAGATTTGGACACATGCTTAAACATTATTACTTACGTGTTGAGTAATGTTATATGAAACTTCAACTCAAGTCATTCTTTGAAAAATTCATAAATATTTATATCAAAATTTGACACCGAACAACTTAGTCTAAGTAAATCATACTGAATATTTCAATGATAATTGTTTCATGATTCCCTGTGAGTATTTTAATTTATTCACATATTCCTGTCTGTATACCCAGTGAAATATCCCTGGCAACTAACATCATATGATGTAAATACATAAACATACATGAACCAGACATATTTCAAATATACTGTTAGGAAAATAATATATTGACTTAATATATTGAACTGAATATCATAAGGCAGGTAAATTTGCATAAAAATTGTCCATACTAAGCAATGTAAGGTACAAGACTAGACAACAAATCCATTTTTAAATTGACCAGATTTAATTTTGAAAAAGACTTTAGAAACACAGTATTATCAGGTATTGGCAATCCTGGCACAGAATCTATGCTACGTAGTGTTTTATTTTGTAGCCCACCGGTAAACCAAAATGTTTCACTGATTACAAATATGTTTTTGTCTGTACATAAATATTAAGCAGATTAAATAAAAATAACAGATTCAGGAGCTAGAAATATATTGCTTATAAATTGTAATTAAAAAGAATTTTCAATTCTTTATTCAAACATAAACTGATTACTAATTACTTAAGTATGAAATGAAGACTTCCTTCATTATCCATTTTTTGGTATCCATTTTAATCAGCTCTGTTTGATGTGCACTATGATTGGTCAATTGTTAAATTATTCATATACTTTACATATTATTATGTTTAACTACATGGGGAAATGGTGACAATACGTGTTGCATTTGTGCTTTTAATACATTCTTTCCTCTGCCTGCTGATGTTTTCGGAGAGAGACATGGAGAGATGTACAATCTACCAATCTGAATGAACAGTCAGATTTGGACAAATATAAATATAAATGGAATCTTCCCTCATGGGATAAGAACTTGTGTAGATTTCACTTGGGATCTGTTAACAAAATGTAGGTCTCAGGTGATTCCATCCAAAATAGTGTAGATCTCACATGGATCTTCAAAACTGGTGTAGAGTGAGGCTATCCAAAACGGTGTAGATCTTGTGCGTTTCTTTTAAACTGGTGTAGATCTCAATTGGGTCATTGAAAATAGCGGACATCTCACTTGGGTCTTCACAATTGGTGTAGATCTCACTTTGGCAGTCGAAAATGGGGCAAACATCACTTGTGTTGTGTTCATCTGGTCTGGATGTTCAGTCGAAGTGTAGTTAATGAACACCGGTCATTGAACCTGTTGAAATACATAATAATTGTCAAGTTGAATAAGGAGAGAATGACAGACTGATGCATGGACGGACAGATAATGAACATGATAGATGATTCTCGCCATTTCCTTCTACTTCCTGTTTAAGTTTACTGTAAACCTGTTTATGTTGGCATGTCTCCTATTGCTAAAACAGGGCGGTGGGGTAGCCTAGTGGTTATAAAGCATTGGCTCATCACGCCGAAGACCCGGGTTCGAATCCCCACATGGGTACAATGTGTGAAGCCCATTTCTGGTGTCCCCCGCCGTGATGTTGCTGGAATATTGCTAAAAGCGGCGTAAAACCAAACTCAGTCAGTCAGTCAGTATTGCCAAAACACACAATGCCAATAGTTCTGAATGGATGTCCAGGTGTCTGAGGGGGTGAGATCACTGACAATAGTTCTGAACGGATGTCCAGGTGTCTGAGAGGGTGAGATCACTGACATTGTGTGCTGGCAGTGTGGTGCATCACTCTCAGAAAGAAGGTTCAAATCATGGATGGGACTAAGCCCAGAAAGGTACTGGAATTTGTACTTAACTAAGAAAATGTAATCCCAGATAGAACTCATGTTACATTTGACCACTTTCTAAAATGCATTGTGTATTACAGCTTTCGGCCATGGGAGCAGGGCCAATGTACACTTGGCAGAGGGGTACGCAAAGTATGTGGCCTAGACAATCAGTTGTCAGACTTCCATTTTCTGAAAACATCAGTGGCTGAGTCGGGTTAGATTGCTGACTTTGTGTGCTGGCAAATTGGTACCTCACAGTGAAAGAGTAGGTTTGATTCCTCAATGGAACCAGAATTTGTACTTCACTAAGGAAGTGTCATCACATAACTTATGCTATAATGTAATATTGTTACCTGTTACAACGAACGTTAAATAAAACATCTTGTATTTTTTATCTTACATAGTCATGGTCAAAATAATCATAATCATCATAATTAGCATCCACTCAGTTATGCCACACTTCATAACCAGGATCCGTGGAAGGTCCAGGTTAGAATATTGATCTTCAGTAATCCATGCTTGTCGTAAGAGGCGACTAATGGGATCGGGTGGTCAGGCTCACTTACTTGGTTGAAACATGTCATCGGTTCCCAAGTGCGCAGATCCATGCTCATGCTGTTGATCACTGGATTGTCTGGTCCAGACTTGATTATTTACAGACTGCCGCCATATAGCTGGAATTTTGCTGAGTGTGGCATAAAACTAATCTCACTCACTCACTCATAACCAGCATTTTTCAAATGTGAGCATAGAAGGATGAACTTACTCATAGGAAATCAGGATTGACATCTTCAAAGTTGACTTCAATGGCAAAGCTTTCCCTGAATACATGGTAGACCTTCTTTTTGTGAGGGTTGTCAATTTCACTTCGAGCCATGTGTAATCTGAAAAAAGCACTGAATTCATTCTAATTCACTGTCTGTAATGTAATGATCATAATACAGAAAACTGCCTGTAAGCAGATATCTTAACAAAAGTCCAAGTAAACAACAACAAATATCAATGTTTTTAAAGAAATTGATTGGCTGAAGTTTATCAGGATATTTTCATTGCAAGTGTTTCTGAAAGGGATATAATGACACAGACGAAGTAGATCCGACAGAACGACTCACTTATGATCTTCTATGAAGGCCGTGTTGAACCAGAAATAGAACGGGCACTTGTCATAGCCCTTTGGAAGACGCACCTGGAAATTTACAATTCAGACACATTTAAATTATCACAATTTCCAAAGTTACTGCTTTACAATGAAATTTTTAAATTTAAATTTTTTTAAAGATTTGTCACAGATGTAAAATAACCTCAGTGGTATAATTATCATGTAGAAATATACACATTTCTGTAAAGCCATGATTACTCATTTACTTATTATACAAGAACAAGTCATGTGAACACTATGAGAACTGAAGCAGTCATGAACTGTTGCTCATAATATCAGCCACTGGTTCGAAGCTGTTATGGACCGACTGGCATCATACTGCTTGAATGTTGCTGAGCTGCAGCAGTTTACAACAATAATAAATATGGCTAATGAAGAACTGGCTTATAAAGAACTCACATGCACAGAACTGGCTTATCAAGAACTGGCTTATCAGGGGCAGATACAGCTTTTTGAGAAAAGGGGGTGCACAGTTCAGAAATTGGATGGGGGTGGGGTCGGTCAATGGTCATTTAATACAGTTTCAGGACAAAAGGAGGGTGGGTGTGCATCCCTGCTTACAAAGAACTGGCTTATTAAAATCTAGCATACAAAGAACTGGCTTACAAAGAACTGGCTTATTAAAAACTAGCATACAAAGAACTGGATTACAAAGAACTGGCTTCCAAGGAACTGACTTATCAAGAACTGGCTTACAAAGGCCTGGCTTATCACTGGAACTTATCAAAACAGCATACAAAGAACTGGCTTACAAAGAACTTTATCTGGATTATCAAGAACTAACATACAAAGAACTTATCACTAGCACACAAAGGACTGGATTATCAAGGACTAGCATAAAAGACTGGCTTATCAAGGACTACCATATCAAAAGGACTAGCATACAAAGAACTGGCTTAATAAAAACTAGCATAAAAGGACTGGCTTATCAAGGACTACCATACAAAGAACTGGCTTACAAAGAACTGGCTTATCAAAAACTAGCATACAAAGAACTGGATTATCAAGAACTAACATACAAAGAATTAGCTTATCAAGGACTAGCATACAAAGGACTGGATTATCAAGGACCAGCATAAAAGGACTGGCTTATCAAGGACTTCCATACAAAGAACTGGCTTACAAAGAACTGACTTATCAAAAACTAGCATACAAAGGACTGGATTATCAAGAACTAACATACAAAGAATTAGCTTATCAAGGACTAGCATACAAAGAACTGGATTATCAAGAACTAACATACAAAGAATTAGCTTATCAAGGACTAGCATACAAAGGACTGGATTATCAAGGACTAGCATAAAAGGACTGGCTTATCAAGGACTACCATACAAAGAACTGGCTTACAAAGAACTGGCTTATTAAAAACTACCATACAAAGAACTGGCTTACAAAGAACTGACTTATCAAGAACTGGCTTACAAAGGCCTGGCTTATCAAGGACCAGCATACAAAGCACTGGCTTATGGAGAACTGATTTACAAATAACTGGCTTATGGAGAACTAGCATACAAAGAACTGGCTTATGGAGAACAGGCGTAGCAAGAACTAGCATACAAGGAACTGGTTCATGGAGAAGGAACATAAAAGGAACTGGCTTATGGAGAACTAGCATACAAAGAACTGGATTATGGAGACCAAGAATACAAAGACCTGGCTTATGGAGACCTGGCTTACATTTGTGGAGTGGAACATGACCTTGATGTCGCCCTCCAGTCGGGGGCTGTTCTGCAGATTGATGATGATACTGTCGCTGTCCGTGTACTTCATCAGCTGTAAACAAGTTACTCAATATACAGCACTTGCATCTATCAGAACACCCTGTAAATCTGGACAACATCATTTCAAGTCTGGTTTCATCATTGTCCAACATAATAAATCAAACGGCTCCAGTCCTGGTTGCTGGTTCTAGGATAAAAATATCACCAAATTTCAGTATGGTTTAAGCAATACCAAACTGATGTCAAGGAATAATGGAGTTACATACCTTTTAAGATCAATAAAAACACTGATGAGGTAAACCTGAGAGTTACCTGGCAGTTTACGCCTGTACCGACGACACATTCAAAGATGTGCAGGTCATCCGCCGAAACATCTCCATGGACAGAGTCACACCGCCCGTCATCACCTGGTCAATAACAGACATGTGATGTGGACATAACACTAGTTATATCACCGTAACACTAGTTATATACCTGATGTAGGAGGATAACACTAGTTATACCTGATGTAGGAGGATAACACTAGTTATACTTGATGTAGGAGGATAACACTAGTTATATCTCATGTAGGAGGATAACACTAGTTATATCTCATGTAGGAGGATAACACTAGTTATACCTGATGTAGGAGGATAACATTAGTTATACTTGATGTAGGTGGATAACACCTGATCTCCATGGACATGACTACCGGAGGATAACACACCTGGTCAATATACATGTGATGCAGGAGGATATACCTAGATACACCTGATGAAGGGATAACACTAGTTATACCTGATGTAGGAGGATAACATTAGTTATACCTGATATAGGAGGATAACACTAGTTATACCTGATGAAGGAGGATAACACTAGTTATACCTGATGCAGGAGGATAACACAAGTTATACCTGATGCAGGAGGATATACCTGATGTAGGAGGATAACACTAGTCATACCTGATGTAGGAGGATAACACCTGATCTCCATGGACAGGTCACTATGTATATCTATAACACTAGTTATACCTGATGTCAGGATAACACTAGTTATACCCGATGTAGGAGGATAACACTAGTTATACCCGATGTAGGAGGATAACACTAGGATGTAAGGATAACACTAGTTATACACGATGTAGGAGGATAACACTAGTTATACCTGATGTAGGAGGATAACACTAGTTATACCCGATGTAGGAGGATAACACTAGTTATACCCGATGTAGGAGGATAACACTAGTTATACCTGATGTAGGAGGATAACACTAGTTATACCTGATGTAGGAGGATAACACTAGTTATACCTGATGTAGGAGGATAACACTAGTTATACCTGATGGATAACACTGCAGTTATACTGAAGAACACTAGTCATACCTGATGTAGGAGGATAACACTTGTTATACCCGATGTAGGAGGATAACACTAGTTATACCTGATGTAGGAGGATAACACTAGTTATACCTGATGTAGGAGGATAACACCTGTTATAGATGGATAAGGATGGATATACACAGTATGATGTAGGAGGATAACATAACAATATGTTATACCTATATATCACCTGATGTAGGAGGATAACACTAGTTATACCCGATGTAACATTAACACTAGTTGGATACCAACTGATGTAGGAGGATAACACTACTTATATCTGATGTAGGATAATAGTACCTGGATAACACCTGATATATGACAGTAACATTGCATATATAATAGTATGGATAACACCTGATATATGACAGTAACATTGCATATATAATAGTATGGATAACACTAGATATACCCGATGTAGGAGGATAGCACTAGTTATGGATAACCTGATGTATGAGGATAACACTAGTCATATCTAATGTAGGATGGATAACACAAGATATATCTGATGTTTGAGGATATCATGTATGGATAACAATGGAAAGCACATGGCGTAGGAAGATTGCATATATAATAGTATGGAAGTTCTGTAATATATGACATAACATTGCATATATAATAGTATGGATAACACCTGATAATATGACAGTAACATTGCATATAGGGCGATGGATAACACCTGATATACACACATAGTATGGATATGACATTTGATCTCAGATATAATAATGGATAACACCTGATATATGACAGTAACATTGCATATATAATAGTATGGATAACACCTGATATATGACAGTAACATTGCATATATAATAGTATGGATAACACCTGATATATGACAGTAACATTGCATATATAATAGTAAGGATAACACCTGATATATGACAGTAACATTGCATATATAATAGTATGGATAACACCTGTTATATGACAGTAACATTGCATATATAATAGTATGGATAACACCTGATATATGACACATGTAATGAAGTCTAAGCACATGATTATATAAATATATCTCACCCTAAAAATACTATTCCTGTTCCCTTACTATATCTGTTCAGTATATTTTGACCAGGAAGGATAACATGTGATTTGGAATAATAACACCTAGTAGACGACTCATAACAACTAGTCAACAACACTGATAAAATTACCTGTGATTCCTTCTATTTTTATGGATGTAATTTTCATATATTTCTTTGGAGGTAGTTGCCGGTTGTCATTCTTTATCTTCTCATAGTACCCAACATAACGACTCTGGAAATCAAAACAGTTGATCCTTTCAATGATGGGGCATATAAGTGATATCTGTACACTGTTCAAACCTTTATCAGCTACAGGGTAGGCCAGTGATTAAAGTGTTCACTCTTAGAGCCAAACACACAGGTTCAATTCCCCATATCGGCAAATGTGTGAAGTCCATTTAAAAAATTACCAGTCCGGATACAAACTTGCCTGTCCGGTTTTCAACAATAAAAAACAAACAAAATCAGGTTAGTCATGTTACTGTTTGTAGCAGGGATTTACAGGACGCGTATTCCTGTGTCGTATATGCATAAAAATTGACAATGGATGCAACAAAATTTATTAGGACGTCCACATGGACTCAGAGAAAGTCCAAATACTTTTTGCAAAAATTCCAATCAAGTGACAATAAGTTATCACTGAGTTTGCTACTAGCCAGGTTATGGTATTATTTGCAATTTAATTACTGTAACAATGTGATAATCATGATACACAATACAATAACAGTATTAATAATAATAATATTTAAGTGTCTGGGACCCCCATTTTGTTGTCCAGGACCCCTGAAAATTAAGAGTTCCAGGGACCCTCAAATACAGGACTCCATGTACATCCCTGCTGTAGGCATCGCAATGAACTACATAGCACTAACAGGCAATGCACCGAGTTTAGGTAAACTGAAAGTACATGTGTTGTGATTGGTTATTGTAACATGAACTGTCCAATCATATGTAGTTTAACATAATCATCATAAAACCGTAAACACCTCAAACTGACGACAAGAGTACCTGTCTGATATTATGAAATATTTACTGTTAGGGGTAAAAATATCTACCAGACCACCGGACAGGCTACTTTTGAAATTTGACCGTCCGAGTTGAAAATAGACCGTTCTGGACGGTTGGGCAGGCGGGAATTTGAAACGCTGCCATTGGATGACAGCACATACTAAATGACAATTTACATCACAAGGTTAACAGAATGTACCCGGATGGGGAATCAAGCCCAGGTTTTTGGCTTGACAAGCAAACACTTTAACCACTAGGCCACCCCACCTCCTCTAGTTTATCATGAACAACTTCAGTTTCTATCAAATTATCATGAATATTTTCAGCGTTTATCAGATTATCATGAAACAAGTGTGTAGAAGAGCATCATTATCTTCAGCCAATATAAAATTCCAAGCTTAAGTAATTCTGGTTTCAGTAATAGTATTCAACAAATTTGGAGGACAAAGATTTAATCTCTCAGCTCTTTTCCCATGTTATGTATGCAATAATCAATAAGTTTAGTTCACCTGGCTGGGAGTCTCCACACCCTGGAAGGACTTTCCAACACTCAGGTCCGTCCGACGATCACCAAAGTAGGTGAGACTCTCCTGCAGCACAACAAGACAGAAACTACTGACTGGACATACCCTAGCAACACATCATCTACCCTGACAACCCATTATCTTCATCATACGGCACGGTGGAGAATCAAGGGAGACAACTCTTGCACACCTATTGCTTCAAATCAGCACTACCAGCAATATTCGTGCCCACCATAGTGAGATTTGACTCAGTTAAACAGATGTCATGAAACAACAATATTAATCAGTGATCAATAGAAAGAGAAAACAACAATGTTTTAAAAATGATCCGAAAAAAAATAATTAAAAATTTACCACTCAATAGAGTGATGGAAATATATTTGGACTCTGACAATGCTATGAGAAATAGATGACACAAGACATGAGACTGTGTTTTTAATGGTTTTCAATTTTTTAATTACTCCAAATATTCAAAAGTAGAAAGAAAGAATCGACTTCATGTACAGATTACCCAAATGAGGTTTAAAACCCATGGGCCAATTCACACTTTAACGTCAAGGTTACCCCTCCATTGCTTACAGACAGAGTCAGACTCTCCTTACTAACATCATCAGCAAATAAACCCATCTTTGTCAACTTTTACATAACTATACTGTTAGTATCAGTCTATATATCAATAACCCTATGTTATTACACAAGCACACCGCCTCCGTGGTGTAGTGGTTAGAGCGTCCGCCCGTAGAGCGGAAGGTCGCGGGTTCGATCCCCGATCGCGTCATACCAAAAGACGTTAAAATATGGTACTTGTTGGTCCCTGCTTGGCGCTCGGCATTTATGGGTACAACAAGGACTGGTCGGCTCAGAGTCAGTATAATGTGTCTGAGTGGGGTATTCATGCTTCACTGCGGCATGGTATCTCAGTGGGCTAGCACTATAAAACCAGCTTCAGTCTGGGCTAGTACAAGCAGCCGCACCTACACATACACACGCATGCACGTCGTCATATGAGCGAAATATTCTCCAGCGGGACGTAAAACCCAATTTCACCTCACCTATTACACAAGCACAAAGTTATCACTGACAGTATTACAGTTTCCCAACTTGCTGTCTTACCTCCGCTTCTTCAAACAAGCCACAATCAATCAGCCAAGTACAAATCATCGTCCCAGTCCGACCTTTTCCTCCCTTGCAATGAATTGCGATAATGTTGCTGCCATCAGATGCCATCCATTCACGGACGTCATCAGTAAATTTCAACATGTCCCTGAAAAAACAAAACAATATTTTCTCATCCTGTTCAATAAACTAAAACATTTTTAATAATAGTTAAATATTTTAAAAGAAACCAAAACAAAATATCAAAGCCATCATAATAATAAACAATTCTGATAAAACTATATTTAATATAAGCAAATGATGATTGATGACATGGGAGTTGTCTCCCTTATACTGTGTATCTGCATGTACAATTTCAGCATAATTTATACATTTATATGAAAGATATTTAAAATTGTTCTTACTCAAGTTTAGGCACATTGTGATCGTCGATGAAAACTCGCCGCACATTCTTATAAAATAACGTCTCATCGTAATCTCGCTCACCTGGAGAAATGAAAGAGGAAAATCGGTATCACTAGTATGCTTATGAATAATGTATGATACACAAAATATACCATGTTGAATATATTGTTATAGTCAACATTACAATCAGACATGGTTACAGTCAAAGTTACATGGTTAAAGTCACAGTCACAGTCAGACATGGTTACAGTCAAAGTTACAGTAGGATGTTGCTACTGTCAACATTACAATCAGACATGGTAAGTCACATAATGCCAAAGTTATACAAAGTCACACTGAAACTATGACACAGCCAGAAAATGTCACAGTCAGATGAGATCACAATCATATGACGACGTGCATGCGCTCGTATGTGTATGTGCGGCTGCTTGTACTAGCCCAGACTGAAGCTGGTTTTATAGTGCTAGCCCACTGAGATACCATGCTGCAGTGAAGCATGAATACCCCGTTCAGACACATTATACTGACTCCGAGCCGACCAGTCCTTGTTGTACCCATTAATGCCAAACGCCAAGCAGGGAGCAACAAGTACCATATTTTAACGTCTTTTGGTATGACGCGGTCGGGGATAGAACCTGCAACCTTCCGCTCTCCAGGCGGACGCTGTAACCGCTACACCATGGAGGCGGTCTAGTCACAGTGAGGATATCACAGAGACATATGTTGACAAACACAAACGACAGAATCCACATCACTACAGAATCACCTGCCACTAGCAATACTTACTGCATAAATTATATATTCTGTAATGCCCTGGATGCTTGGTGTTGAAAAACCTGGCAACTTCCTGAAATTAAAGATTGTAATGCAGATTCCCCAGAAACTCTTCCCTGACTCTCTAGATGACTGTGATCCCACATGAACACATTAATGCATTGTGGCCACGTATATTCTCAACACAAAGTCAGATCAAAACATTGACTCACTATACTTGGTATGTCTCTTGTTCGTGCAGAATTAGAAATTATAAAATTACTACTACCAGTATATGAAATAAGCCAAAAACCCTGCCAGACATCAGGGCTGGTAACTTCAAAATGTTATCAGCCCAAAATGGATTTAACCAGACCAGACATCAAGATATGGTGAATTTACTCAGATGTATGGAACATCTAAAATCTAAAATTTGCACCAGACCATCGGGTTGGCGAGCTGTAAATTTAGACTGTCCGTCAGAAATCTAGCCTGTAACAGGTGGTCGGACGGGCCTTATTTCATACACTGCTACTACAATACCCAGCCCGTCTCAGGCGGTCGGACGGGCCTTATTTCATACACTGCTACTACAAAATCTAGCCTGTCTCAGGCGGTCGGACGGGCCTTATTTCATACACTGCTACTACAAAATCTAGCCTGTCTCAGGCCTTATTTCATACACTGCCATTACATAATACCCAAGTCGGACGGGCCTTATTTCATACACTGCTACTACAAAATCTAGCCTGTCTCAGGGCCGGATCGGCCTTATTTCATACACTGCTACTACAAAATCTAGCCTGTCTCAGGCAGTCGGACGGAGCCTTATTTCATACACTGCTACTACAAAATCTCAGCCTGTCTCAGGCAGTCGGACGGTCGGACCCTTATTTCATACACTGCTACTACAAAATCTAGCCTGTCTCAGGCGGTCGGACGGGCCTTATTTCATACACTGCTACTACAAAATCTAGCCTGTCTCAGGCAGTCGGACGGGCCTTATTTCATACACTGCTACTACAAAATCTAGCCTGTCTCAGGCGGTCGGATCGGACGGGCCTTATTTCATACACTGCTACTACAAAATCTAGCCTGTCTCAGGCGGTCGGACGGGCCTTATTTCATACACTGCTACTACAAAATCTAGCCTGTCTCAGGCAGTCGGACGGGCCTTATTTCATACACTGCTACTACAATATCTAGCCTGTCTCAGGCGGTCGGACGGGCCTTATTTCATACACTGCTACTACAAAATCTAGCCTGTCTCAGGCGGTCGGACGGGCCTTATTTCATACACTGCTACTACAAAATCTCAGTATGTTTGGTAAACAAGACTTGGCATTTAACTGGTGAGTGAGTTTGTTGGGTTTAATGCTGCTTCAAAAGTATTCTTGCTATATGTCAGCATCCCTGCTCAATGATGATCCAAAGCAATCAAGGATCCAGATCCACTGTTTACCACCTCAGAGGAACCCACAAGCATGAATACAGTGTTGACAAACCAGGAACCTTAATCGGGGGGAACCGACTCAAACCCACAATTATTGGTAACCACCTTGCCCAATGGACTAACTATACAAAATAAACTAAAGTGCATTGCCTGAGTGAGTAGTGAATATTAGGTTTTAGCAGCAATATTCAGGAATATCACAGCAGAGGATACTCAGAAATGAGCTTCACACACTGTGCCCATGTGGGGATTCAAACCCAGGCCTCATTGGACAAGTGAACACTTTGAACCATTAGGGCTACCCCACTGCCCCAGAGCTGTTTGAGCTCCTGATCCCCACAACACGGCCAAACACTAGAAGCTAATTTGCATTAGTGTTGAAATTGGCTAAAATCTCATAATTGATGATTGGTTCATTGCAACCGTATCAATCATCGAAAAATAATTGGTTAGCGGCATTTATCACATTTTCCTGGTTATGTTTGTTAAACAAACAATACAGAAAAACACATAATTCTTTCTTTGAGTTTTTGCAAATTGCACAAAATGCATTTGTAACTTTACATCTTTAAAGGAAGACGAGTATGTTTGGAACCGAAAAGTTCCTGGAGTCTTCAAGATAAATTCAATCTTGACTTTTAACAGACAACACAAACCTTGTGAAAAATATTGTTAAAGGCAAATAAGTGTTCCAAAATTGTTTGTGTTCGATTAAGAGAAAACATGATCGATTGCTTTGTCGCTTAGTCATTGGGCAATAATTATTTCACAATCGTATTTTGCATCCCCCACACTTGCTACTCACCCTGATGGGATTTCTGTAGAAGGCCACTGCCTTTGGATGGGTATGAAATATAATTACTCTGTGTCAGGGCATGAAACAACATTCGACAAACCAGTTCTGGTTACCTGTTGTTGTCACTGCACTATATGAAACCTCTGGCCCTGCCGCTTCACAAAGCCTGAGTCTATGTTGAGGATAGTGTGTAACATTACATTCCCTTCCCGATACATCTTGTAAATCTTCAGAACAAGAGGTTGTGTTAAATATCTTCAATGAATCACACATCATATGCACTTTCTGTAGGTGACTGGCATCAATGGCAAGAGGTGTATTACCTGAATCACATCATATGCACTTTCCGTAGGTGACTGGCATCAATGGCAATATTACCTGTAATATAACAAAGGTCAAGGTCAAAACCATCCTTCTGGTATCGTCGCTTGTTTTGTGAGACCACATGACGTGTTGCCCTGGTAACCTGACGATGTTGCACGACCATGAAATAGATGATCCTCACAATTCGAATGATTCGGAAGACTCGACCAATCACCACAAGTCTGAAATTCCGAAGTTTAGTTAAGTTCAAGACAAAAATAACAATTCATACAAAACATGGATACGAAACAGAGGAATAAACACCAATAATTAACTAAGCAATAAACAGCAACAATGGTTAAAAACAGTCATTTTACATATTGCATTTCAGATATGCTTGGATTTTGTTTGAGGGGCATTCTAGAAGTTGGTGGTATAGAGATGACAAGAGTTTATGGATGATCAACTTCTTTATTTTAACAATGGCATTCTGTTTGGTAGATTTTATACCGTTGTCAAATATGGGGACTTTACAGTCACCAATTGTCATGGTAATCCCACTCATCTCATTCATGTTATCTTAGCTCATCATCATGCTATTGTAGCTCATCATGTAACTTTCTTTGATGCTTTGTTTGCCCACCCTTGTTATTGTTATCTCTCTATCTTATCTTGTATATAAACTGGTGTACCCCTTCATTTCCCCATATGCTTGAAAACGGTATAAGAATCTATACCGAAACGTCGCCATTGTTAAAATAAAGAAGTTGATCATCCATAAAATCTTGTCATCTCTATGCTTGGATTTATCAATATGTCAGTACGTTTATGTACTTTGTGAACATATCAAAATTGAACATACACTTCCTGGTGAGAAAGGCAAGCAACAATAAATGTATGCTTGAGATGTGAAAACTATTTTTGCCATAAAATGTATCTAAAACCTAAAAATTATTTACTAATAACAATAACAGAAAAATATATAGGTCAGCTGAGAACTGGTTGACAGATACATGTAGGTCACTGGCAAACTGTCCACAATGAAGATAGATATACATTTTTTTTTATAACTTAAATACTATTAAATGTGAGGTGAAGTGAAATTGGGTTTAACGTCGTGCTTGAGAATATGTCACTCATATGACGACGTGCATGCGCATGTATAATGTGTGGCTCCTTGTACTAGCCCAGACTTAAGCTGGTTTTATAGTGCCAGCTCACAGAGATACCATGCCACAATTATGCATGAATACCTCACTCAGACACATTATACTGACTCCGAGCCGACCAGTCCCTGTTGTACCCATTAAGGACGAGCATCAGGCAGGGACCAACAAGTACCATATTATAACGTCTTTTGGTATGACGCGGCCGGGGATCGAACTGCGACTGTCCGCTCTCCGGGTGGAAGCTCTAACCACTACACCACGGAGGCGGTCTTATAAATGGTGGATTTTAAGCTATATGAAAATAACCAATATATAATGAGACATCAAAAGATCATATGCCAAAAAAAAATATATTAATATGTGTACATTCAATTCATTTCATTTCATAGTATGATGTGTGAAAGCCAGACCTCTGTTACAGTTCTGTAAACTAGAAATATTATCAATAATATTTCAGATATTTAAGAATGAGATTTTAAGGTTTAAATCATTGTTAATAATATACACCCCTATCACTTCTGGACAAATGTAGCATTTGTACTCTTTATCTGGGCCAATGACTTGGACACAAAAAACAGAATTGAACAATAAAAAAGCAATAAACATTAATAATAAAAAAGGAATAAACGACAATATCAAACAGAGCAATAAACGACAATATCAAACAGAGCAATAAACGCCAGTATTATACAGAGCAGTAAAAGGCTGTAATAAAGGGAGAAATAAACAGTATTAATACTTTGTATTAAAACTGAAAAATGATGAATCTATGAACAGCACACAGGAGATGAAAGCGTGGATGCAGAATGTTGCAATTTCACGTCATCAGTCTCAAACACCTTAAATGAGTGAATGGGTTTTTCTTTTAAACATGAGAAAAACAAAAAGTGTTGCAGGATGTATGCACTATACAACTTTGGAGAATCCCATAGACAGACAAACTACTGTTCATAATCAGCTCAAGGTTTTATATAAAAACACAAAATATGCTTGTCGTAAGATAAGACTGATATCATCAGGTAGGCCTACCAGTGACAGGAGGCGACTAATGGGATCGGGTGATCAGGCTCGCTGACTAGTTGACACATGTCATCGTAACCCAATTGCATAGATCGATGCTCATGCTGTTGATCACTGGATTGTCTGGTCCAGACTTGCTTATATACAGACCACCACCATATAGCTGGAATATTGCTGAGTGCAGCATAAACATCCAACCAACCAACTGTTGCTGCATGTCTTGGTACCCCAGTGGGTGGACTGTTGCTCTTAATATCAATCATTGGATTGTGTGGCAAGATTTCACAATTATCAGATCATGCTGCTGGAATATGTCTGAGTGAGGTGTCTATCCATGCAACTGTCACACAGCATCAATACCTGTCACAAGAGAGCAGCAGGCAAACCACTAACTGGTCAGTGAACACACTTACATGTTCACAATGTCTGAAAATATTTAGTACTCAGTGAGTGAGTTTAGTTTTATGCCACTTTTAGCAATATTCCTGCAATATCATGGTGGGGGACACCAGAAATGGGCTTCACACATTACACCCATGTGGAAATGAACCCGATCTTTGGCGTGACCAGCAAACACTTTTGCCTCTTGGCTACCCCACCGCCCCTTAAGTGAGTGAGTGAGTTTGGTTTTACGCCGCTTTTAGCAATATTCCAGCAATATCATGGTGGGGGACACCAGAAATGGGCTTAACACATTGTACCCATGTGGGGAATCAAACCCGGGTCTTCGGCGTGACGAGCGAACGCCTTAACCACGAGGCTACCCCACCGCCCCAAAGTACTCAACATTAGGTCGTTAGGGATATCTAGACATTTCATACTAGTTAATCCGTGATGAGAAAGCTACTTTTTTCAGAAAAAATGACACATATCCAGGGATTAGGAGAATGTTATGGTTTATGCATACATTATAAAGCAAGTATCAAAATGTCACCCTTGACAAAATGAAAACCTTAAACCCATGGGAACCTCAAACCCCGGGTTGAGTGTATTATGGAACCACAAAAACATCCTCATCAAAAGAGGAACAGAAACATCTGTCATCTCTAAACAACAGTTTTGTGCGAAATATTTCAGATTATCATATTTCATTGAAACTCTTTCTATGGAAACCATTCCTTGTCCAGGAGGCAGTTGGGTAGCCTAGTGGATAAAGCGTCTGCTTGTCTGGGTTCGATTCCCCACATGGGTACAAAGTGTGATGTCCATTTCTTGTGTCACTCACTCACTCACTCACTCACTCCTTGTCCAAGTCCCAGAAGCCCCTGTTTTCTGTGAGTTACAGATGCGACAACTCTCGGATCACTTACTTTGCATAGTCCACGTGGTTTGACTCCGTGCAGGACTGTTCCGACTCAATCCCGATGAAGACCATGTCGATGAGGAACGATATGACGACAATCACCATATCAAGAACATCCCATACATTGTAGAAAAACTCCTTCCTGAAAACCAATATCATGGTCATGAAGATGTCAAACTAGAGGGTAATTAACACTGGACCAGGACTATTTCTACTTGATACTGGCCTTCAGGCCACAAGGTTTGAAATGAGGACGTGTTATTTGCTGATGACAGTGTGATTTGCTGATGACAGTGTTATTTGCTGATGACATATTGTTATTTGCTGATGACATAGTGTTGATGACATAGTGTTATTTGCTGATACTGCAGAGAGTTTTCAAAAATGTATTTATGTTTTAGGAAGCTTTTGTGACAATCCTCAATTATCTGTAACCTACAAATTGTTTGTAGAAATGGCAGCAAGTTATCGAACATGTGAAATGTTTTTTCAATGGGACTATTCAAATCCTTACATATGCTTAATCACTTGCCTTGTGATCTATTTTTAAAGATACGTTTACAGAATAATCAGTGCTATTCTTCTCAATGGCTCAGAAATATTGGGTGTAGATAATTATAATGAAGGTCAAACTATACAAATATTTGGGTCCAAACATTTTCTTGATGCTAAATCCTCAATGTTGAACCATATCGTCGGGAGAGAATATGCAAATTATCCAATGTATATTTTAACCTATCAATGGGCTGTTAGACACAGGTGTAAAATATGCAATATGTCTGACATAAGTACATGATGGCCAATCACACATCTAGTACTGAATAACAAAATATCATGTTTTAAATTACTGATTATCTGATCAATAAGAGTTGCATGTACATCTTGAAGAATTAATAACTTGACAATTATAGTCCGTTTGGCTCAAAAGCGGACCGATGAATTGCAATCTAACTCGAAAACTAATAAACATAAAATACTCAATGAAACTCTGATCATAATCAAAACATCATACCCTCTCTGTGAGGTTTTTGCAGAATTTTGGTCCTAAAAGTAAAAAAGTTGTTTAATAATCTATCATTAAAATTTTGATACAGTTTACTATTTGTTACGAGGGAGGAGTGCAGAGAAAGGGACAGCCAGGTGTTCGAGAACCGATGGGGACGGCACAGCACAGGTTAATGAATAAATAACTTTGTCTGTGAACGTGCTTCTCGAACACCTGGCTGTCCCTTTCTCTTCACTCCTCCCTCGTAACAAACAGTGAACTGTGTCAATATTTTAATGATAGTTTGTTAAACAACTTTATTATTTTTTGGACAAAAATTCTGCAAAAAACTCACAGAGTGGGTATGATGTTTTGATTATGATCAGCGTTTCATTGAGTATTTTATGTTTATTAGTTTTCGAGATAGATTGCATTTCATCGGTCCGCTTTTGAGCCAAAGGGACTGTAACTATTGAATGAAATGGTATCAAATACTGAGTTGTCTATCACTGGATTGTCTGATCCAGACTCAAATATTTACAGACCACCATCACATGGAGGGAATATTATTGAGCGCAGCGTAAAACAACAAACATTGTACCTATGCAGAGAATCAAACCATTGATTTCAGCATGAAAAGCATGTGCTGTTAACACAGGGCTCTTCTACACCGTCTTTGTATATATCCCACTGGACACTGTTTACACTAGGGGAGGTGGGGTAGCCCAGTGGTTAAAGCGTTCGCTCGTCACGACAAAGACACAGGTTCCATTCCCCACATGGGTACAATGTGTGAAGCCCATTTCTGGTGTCCCCCTCCGTGATATTGCTGGAATATTGCTAAAATCGGCGTAAAACAATACTCACTCACTGTATACACCACATTCAATTATTTCTAGCCACCATATAGCTGGAATATTGCTGAGTTTGGCATTAAACAACAAACAAACAAACAAACAAACAAACAAAAATTAAAAAAATCTCACCCTTGATAAAAGATCCTGGCTGCAACTTCTATTACAAATAACGTGATAATTATATGAGATACTATTTCCAGACCACTGTCAACGCTGGCACAGGTGTCCCTTGTCAGATCTACAATAACCAGGCTAAAGTCTAGTATAATCAGAAGAACTGTGACGGCACGGAATGCTATGTGCTCCACAACTTTCTTCACTTGGAATTGTAACGATCTGAAATTTGAAATAAAAAAAAAATAATTACAGTGCACCTGAATATTAATTAATTATACAAATATAAATATTAAGCATTGATATGATATTTCCATGTAGAATTTAAATATAATCTAAAAAGTCCAACACTAAAACTGTGCCAGAAACTACTTCTCCACCCACGGTAGGCTACCATTATTCTACAATCTTTAATGTATGAAAAACATGGTATAATAATTAACTTTATTTTTAAACATAAACTGGGGTAGAAGGCTTATTGAGACGTGCAGCCAAAAGCATGATTGTAACTTTCTTAGCCATATTTTAATCTGGACTCTTTTCAATTTGTATCATCAAGTTAGGGACAAGACACTTATGATATGGAGTAGGGGGTGTCAGGGGAATGAAGAGCATCACTGAACAAATATGACTCTCTGGTAAAAAGTCATAAAAATAAGACACATTTTGGGAGGGTCATGAGAAAAAGGACATGGGAGGCAATTATTAAGTGAGGATCATTAATTTCAGTTAGTGCATCAAGATATTTTGACCCACCCACCCCTGTAAAAAATGGACTGTCCCTCCTTCTCATGTTTCTAGTTAGGAAAACAAACCATAAGTGAGACCTTTACATTTTTAACCTGGTATGACAAAAAAATATCAAATTTCAAGAAATAAATTCTGAAAACTTAATCTTAAAATGAAAAGTTGCCAAGTTTTGTAAAACCATAAATTATACATTTGTTTTAGATACAAAATATTAAACAAACAAAATATGTTATCAAAATGCTGATTCAGCAGTAAATGAGGTTAAATATACTGAGAGAAACAAATAGGGAACACAGGAAAATTCAAGCATTCCTTTAATATTTTCCAGTTTTCATCACCAGCTTTGAATATAGCTGTGGGAGGAAATCTGAGAATAAATAAAGGAACACTGCCATGAAGTGGTGTTCCCTTATTTGTTTCCCTCGGTATATTTCTGGGGCACTCACTCCAGAGGTCCCTTGGGAGCAAAGGGGGTTTCCAGCTGGGTCCTCAATAAACTGGTCTGGTTGTTGATCTTTCATGTCATAGACCTTGAACTCCCCACTGCTCTGGTCAGCCTTGTGAATCTGTATGTGGGCATCTTCCAGATTCTTCTCCTGATCCCCATTTTCCAGGTTGACGGAGAGTTTGTCTGAATTCTCAGCATCGTTGCTGAAACGCTCGTATGATGACGTCATGATGATATGATCTTTGTGGTCAAAATAGTCTAAAATACATAAAAAAGAAATTGAAAGAGTTATTATTTTGTCCATGAAAGCATTTGTAATTACTAATCTTAATTCAGTTTTAAGAGCAAGCCACAGAATAATATTAATTTCGCTTCAATTAAAAAATATTCTCTCTAAGTTTTAAGTATCAATGAGAAATGTTAGACCAATATCTAGTCTACCTTACTGGGTCTTGCAAAATTATCACATCAAAATTCCATTTTGTCTATTATTATACAAGACTGTCTGATGTTGTTTCCTGATGTGGGTTGTTTAATGAACAAACATTCTTTTATTAATTAGGTAGGTTAAAAATTTAATCATACTTTAATCTAGAATATATTTTTAGAAAATAATAACAGCAGAGACAATAATTATAGTTATAGTTATGTTAGGGGCAAAATATTGAACTATATATTTGTGCACCAAATTAAAAAAAGAAAAATTGATGTTTTCAGCTGAGCAAATTAATTTATGCCCATATAATGATTTTCAGGTTATGCTTATCTATGAATCAGTTCAGCTTCAAATGATTTGTTTTTAGACATAATAATGTTTGCATCCAAATTTAATCAGAGCTATTGTTCTGTTGACATCCATGACGTATCATTGTGATCTTGAGCCACTGCAAAAATGTAAAATAATTCTGGACCTTAAATATGTTGAAACATGCTCCATATTGTATTATTGCAACGTTTATTTTCCATGGTCTGAGAAAACACAAGTTGATTGCATAATGTTTGGATGGATTTGTCATTGCGAAGTTGCATGAACTTGATCAAATGCATAAAAAAATATAGAATTAACCATTCAAAGAGTTAAAGAATATTTTCATTAAAGAAATAGTGTCCTTACCATGGACAAATCTAGAACTGGATCATTTAGCGTGTTAAAAAATGTTTATCATATTTGTGGATGAAATGCAACAAGGTCGGAGACGCGATCTCCATTTGACAGCTCAGCTGATTGATGAGTCATGAAAAGTATGACAGCATCCATGCAGAGTGCAATATACAAACAGATACCAATTAGTGTCGACTTAATCAGACAAATTCCGATAAGCAAAGTTTGTCCTTGCTTGGTAATAAGCACCGCTGCTGTTATTTGTGGAGAAAATTGTCGTGATCAGTCAACCGTGGAAAGGGGGTGTTTCCCAAGAATTTTGATTGTTGACTTTGCGAAACATCGTTGTAACATCTTTTGCAAAATGTACCAAGTTGTCATAGTGCACATACATGTTGACACAAACTTAATTAGTTAAATGATGACAAAAATAGCATGCATAGTTTGTATCAAACCTGCTCAAAGAAATCCGAACGATTGATGTTCAGGGCACATGCCGCCCATGAAAGGTCAGAGGTGAAAAGTCATCTCTAACACACGTTTTGATTGGATCAATCATTTCGCTACTGTAAGCCTAAGCACTAGTTGCATGTCGTATTTGCGCCAGCGGCCTCAGTTGAAAGGAGAAATAATTGCTCATGATATTTAATACATCATGGGTGAAAGAGGCAAATGTGTTCGATTTGTAAGTTGTTGTTTTTCTTTCCCTGTAAACTACTTTTGATTAAATGGAACACATTTATATAATAATATTTAATTTCCTAGCCTCACCGTATGAAAAAATCCATAAAAATAGTGTGCTGGCGACTCAGAGGGTGTGGGTTCGAATCCTGGATGGGACTCAACCCAACAAAAGTACTAGAATCTGTACTTTACTTATAAAGTGCAATCCCAAATATAACATATGTTACACAATAGTAAACAATCATATGAAATATATCTCTTAGATATGTCACGTGATAAGAAAACGTCAAGATGTATGTTGTAGCGGGGGGGGTCTGTTCCAAATTGAGACAGACTGAGTATTACGGCTATTTCAACCCTTGAAGATGTATTTCAAGGAACAATACGCGAGTACACTTCTACGATATTTAGTAGCTACTTGCTTATCCGGAAAATCTTAAATTCAGCCACTTTGGAGCAAAATCTTATCCCGTTGGCTGGTTACGATTCACTATTACAATATAAAGCACGAATTAAAGTGAAAAATCGTCAACAATAACTGAATCGCGATGTAAGCCATATTAACTTGGCGCGCCTAGTGGCTGCACGAGTTGTATGATCCCCAGGGAGTTGAGATTGAAAGATACGATATGTGCCGTTGAGATTGACATCCAATGATCGAGGGAAAAGCAAAGCGCTTTGAGCATGTACATGTAGATGAGATGGACTATAGCGCTATATAAATATATATTAAAAATTATTCGTACCAGGGTGCCGTTGTACAAAGCGATCTTAGCGCTAAGGTGACCGTAACTCCCATCCCTTAACATAGACTTAAGGTAGCCTTAGCGCTAAGGTTGTTTTGTACAACGGCACCCAGTTCATTTTCCCTTGCGCTCTCAGCACGGGCAAAATATAAGCAAACACAATATTGACTGACGCCCAAAATTCTTTACATTTTCATAACACACAAGATGCACATTCAGTAACAATTCATACACTCCAGTATTCTTTGTAAGATCAACGCACTTTACCTTCAGGTATTTTATCCAGGTAACACCATGAAGAAGATTTATGATCCCCCGAGCTGGACAGCATGTTTGCAGGTGCTTCTACGTATATTGTGAGAGTTATGTGATATGGTCAGCGGGTCAAGACTCGGCGGTCACCCCCTACCAGGAAGATCCGCTGTGAGGCACACATTACCATGCTGTAGCGTACATCCCAGGCTTCCTGTTACGCAGGCTCCACAGACAGGTTCATATGTGATCTGCTGGTATTTTTAACTGGCCCAGAAAATAAGTGTTTTGTTTTTACGTGCTGTTCATGTATTTTTCAAACTTTTTTCCGATATTGGTGTTTTATTGTCAATTTTTAAAATCATTATCGTCTGAGTATTGCAGTGTTCTGCTGAAAGTATTACTTTGAAGCAGAGAAGAATTCTATACATTATTCCTTCGAATTCCATCAAAAATATTTGAGACAATCGTGATTTGATTGATGTACGATATGATATGGTATGGTGCCTGGAAATATAAATGTAATTTTGATTTCGAATCAAATTTTAGTGAAAAGTCTTTCCATGTTCTATGACCTTCGGTTCAACCCCCGCATACACCGTAATGTTTTGCAGTCGCACAGCCATTAGCAGTGTGCTTATATCAATATAAAGCATTATTAACGATACTAGTTGTCTACTAGCTAGTCTATGACCCAAATTGGAAATGTCCAATCAAATCCAACGTTACTTCCACACAAGGAAATGACGCGCGACCATTGCGATATCGACATGTGGGAATTTCAAACCAAAATATTTACGTTTGCAAGCCAACTTATACCGACTGACTGCGATATTCTAACACATTTACAGTGCTCAAAGCAACAGCTCATGTGATCAATAAGTGGCAAACGAAGACACGCCTAACTAACGGCAGAACAGACATGGAAGAGGTGCTATCTTCAGTGAAGGAACTTTCTGTTTCAGATTTGAGAGAGAAACTGACGTCGTATGGTCAGTCGGTTGGTCCTATCACCCCACAACGAAATTACTCTTTCAGAAAAGGTTAGCGAAGTATGTGTATACGGATAAGTATGGAGACAAACCCCCAGAAGCGACGGAAACGAAACAAGCGAGTGATCACACGGATACGAATGTGCCAGTGAAAAGCAAATCGACGGAAAATGTTCAACGTGCTCAGGATTCTAAAGCAGGCAACACCGACAGCAATGGGTCAGTTTTCTATGCAGTGTCTCTAGACTCAGGTGACAAGAACGCTGAGGGTGAGAACTAATTTTGTTACTATTGTCACTCACGATAGGCAACACCCACTTTCCGTCAGTTGTCAAGAGTTGTAGAAATTGATAACATCAATTGCACACGAATGTGCCATGAATCAAAGTCACTCTATACATCCAGCTACCCCCATAAAGTGACTTAAGCTAAGGGAAACATGCAATGTGGTCATTTTCTTTGAAATGAATCGTTTTTTCACTTTTATTCGTTACTTTTGGTGTGTTAATGATGTATTGATTAAGTTCAAAACATGGTGTGAATGTAAAATCAATAAGTGTGCATGGATAGACACTTCTCGTTTGCTAATACAAGGAAGCAAAATTTTATATTTTATAAGAGATTTTTATGCAAACCCCAAAATGCCAGTTACCTGCTTGATGCCTTCTTTGCCACTCCCCCACACATATGATTATGGCATATACATGTACTGCAGGAAAAAATCCTAGGAGAAACACGTTTAAACCTTGATATTTAAGCCTGTGTTAAGCCCATGTTTTTAGATTGTGATATTCAAGTATCCAATTAAAAACCTGTGACAAAACAACACATTTTATCAATCTACCTACAATTTCTTCAGCATGTAATGATTACCTAACTGTTTGGGGACAGTATCTTTAATAATTGATCTGCTGTAAGACCTATTCTTTATCAGTCTGGGAAACCAGAGAATATTCAGTTTGAGAAAAAAATATGGTTATAAAAAGAACTTACCTTTGTTTAATTAATGGATACTGTATTTCTTGGAAAAAAATATGTCTGTATACTGTGAGGTGCTTGTCAAGCTAAAGGCTTTACATTTTCAAGCTGATAGTTTTGTATTTATTAAATATCCTTGACAACAGGAATGTTCTGTGATATTCTGTTCGTAAATTTCTTTCTTGGTTGAATTTATTTTTTTTTTAATTATATGAATAATTTATTGCATTTGGAATGACTAACATGATTTTGTTATCAGCGACATTGACTGATTGTCATTTCGAATGTCTGAAAGTTTTTCCAATCTGATAATGATGCAGAAGATCTTGTCATGTCAGAATTTTAATCAAATCATGAAAATCTCTTGATACCATTTTCTTCCAGAATAACTGACAAGTTCATGATATGTATGATAAAAAAATAGCATTTGCCAAACAGTATATTGATTACATCTACTTAGTATGGGATCATCATGATCATGGAATATTTTTTTCTGTTATCAAT